TAACTATTTTGTTATCATCATCGAAAACATTTATGGATCCGCCTCTAATCGAGACTTTTGAATTCGTGTAGCTAGGTCCCACCTTTATTAGTGTATATATGCCTTTGAGTTGAATGTAAACCAAATGTACGCGTTTATTTTTCAAAATAACTAAAAGATATATCTTAACCATAAGGGTGATGTCTGATTAGTTTGAATTTGGCTCTAAAGGTCAAAAATACCATGAAGTCACATGTTTAAATCCAAGAAGAAATAAAAATCCCCTTGTGGCCACGGAGGTTCAAATACGGTGACTCCGGGCTATCTGCAAAGCAGGTGGTCGCTCTGGGATTAGTCGGCTCGCATAGCAGTTTGGATATTCAGGTTAATAATATATGTATATATATATATATATATATAGGCCATTAATGGAAGAACTGGTTAGTTTGTGGTAACCGTGAGATCCAATCTCAACCACAGATCAATATATAAATTAGGAAATTTATAATTTTGGTAATTTTGAATTAAATTTTTAATGCATGGACATTTTAGGTATTTTCTCTCCTCTCTCCATCCTCCGGCCTCCGGCCACCGTCCTCCGGTGATACCACTGTGATACCTAAAAATATTGACTCTGTTAAACAAAAGACACGGTGTGATACCCAAGCATATATAAGATGCATTGTGATACCACTGTGTTACATCTCCGATCGACCACACAAACGACCTCAGTGTGATACCCAAGCACATATATGATGCATTGTGATACCATTATGGTATCACCGGAGGACGGAGAGAGTAGAGAGAAGAGTTTTAAAATACCTAAAATGTCCTTGCATTAAAATTTTAATTCAAAATTACCAAAATTATAATTTTTTTAATTTATCTATTGATTTGTGGTTGAGATTGGATCTCACGGTTACCACAAATTAATTAGTTCTCATTTGATTAGGCCCCTATATATATCTTCTTTTTTATTGTTTCCGTATTTCAGGTTTTAGTGAACTTCTTGTACTGGAGTTGTTTCTACAAGCTTATATACGGTTCTTAGTAATCGTACTAAGACAGCCTAACTCAGGAATGCAAACCGAAATGAACAAACAAGAGCTCAAGAAGGAAGCATGGGTTTATTACTCTTACTTCACTTGGTTCCTTTACAAATGTGGGGTAACCATCTATTTAGATGTCTTTATGTACAATCAAGAACATCCTACCTAGGTATTTTTATTTGGCGAACTGTGGGTTTTTGGGCCATCTTACACGCACCAAATAATCTCGGGCGACCACAAATGGTCTTGAGTCATTGTAGATGAACCTCCATGGTCACAAGGGCCTTGGCAGCGCGTGGATTCAAACTAAGGATAGATGAGATTTTCACTACATCCCTTGAAATTAACCAGTGCGCCAAAAAACAAGTGGTTTAGATATTTACAAGCAAGGATTTAGAGAGGTACACCCTACAAGGGTGAGTATTCGAAGAGATGTTTGACGTGTCTTCATTTCTTTTAGAGGTTTCCCATCAACATCTCGGTAAACTTTCTTACAGGACGTCACCTTTTGCTAAACATGAACTTTGATATGTTAGAGATGTTGCAAGATCATTTAAAGACCCTTTTAGGTTACTCTAGTTTTCTTATATCTAAAAATAGTATTATTACTCTAATTTAAGTAAATGCAACTTTCCAATTTCAGGTATTTACGGAAATATGATTTGACGAACATGTTCGTGTATTCATGTGCTTATAACGAGTTTCGTCACTCAATTAATCCAAAGTAACATGAAAAAACAGTTTATAGAACCGTAAGAGGGTTCTCAGATACTTGTATCTAGAAATACTAGAAGAATACTCGTGCAATGCATCAAGGCACGTCTCCATTTCAATGTTTCGTTTTATTTTTCATCTATGTCAATATAATACGGTTTTATTTAGTTTTGAGAAAACAACAATGTTTTTATTTTTAAATAAAATATCATAAAATTTTGAAAAAATATATATTGATATTAGTATCAAATTAACTATTTAAAAATTCTTTTTTTGTGTATTTTTTTTAATTCAATTTCTTTTATTATAATTTAATTTAATGTAACGAAGTAACTTAATTTTGGTTTAATAATATAATTTTTAATAAAGATAATAATTAAATATTCTGTTAGATTTCAATGATTATTCTAATTATATTTTCGATTTTTTATATTTAAAATGAAATGTTTATTCTGTATTTAATTATATATATTTGCAGTTAGTTACATGAATTTAAACATGGAGCTTTAATAAGTTGTACTTACGCATAATTTACTTGTAATCTTCAATTTTAAGTAATATGCATCAATAAACAGTATTTCATACATAAAAAAATGGTTTTTAAGAATTTTTATCAAATGCTTTATAATATAGTATAGATTATAATTATTTTAATACTTTTATATGTTGTTTTTTCTTATTATATTAATACTATTAATTATTCTTATCAACTTTGCTTCATAGTTGAAACTTCGGCATGTTTCTATTCTAGTTTTATAAATGTTTGGTTACAATTAAATGAGTTACCGATTAATTTAATTGCATGTGAGAATTGATTAAAGATATTTTTGAGCTTTTAAATAGACAAATTAACGGCGACTTTATTGCATCTTTGAATATACCAAAATGTTAATCCACCAAATTAAGTTACGGTGTCTCCACATTTTTGTACAGTTTTAAAGCTTGCTTTGCATACAACTCTTACTTTGCGAATTGATGTCGTTATGCCATAATTGACATCTATACGGGTCTTATCATTACCCATAACCTTTCTATAGGGTTGGCGGGGTTTATAAACATTTCAACAATCAGTATTATTAAATTCCAGCTAAAATACATGGGTCGATCACATGTAGGCAGCTTATTTTGATCCACGATAGAATTGTTGCTCAATATATGACGTATTCAAATACCATTTTGTCACTCAGTTATGACGTGGTTAGAATTAAGTCGAAGGACCATAAATACAATAATCATGTCTGACATCCAATGTAATGTTTTCATAACGGGATCGTTCAATACACAAGGTCCCTGACGTCTGTCATTTAGTAAATATTAAAAATAATTAATCCCAAATACAACACAGGCACTGGGTTCAATCATCGAGCCCCTGCTAGCCTCAGTCGTTGAGTGAGCCAAAAAAATGTCTCTTCACATAATGTCCTTGAATACAAGTTATGTGTGAAACCGATTGAAATTGTCGATATTCAACCTTTCGCCTCAATATTAAAAATATATTACCACAAATAAAAGAAATTTGAGGGTTTGAAATTTTGTCCCTCCATAGGTTGGATAGAGAGAGGGGTAGGGTTTCCTATTTTTGTCATTTAATTTTGTGTTTTGGTCAAATGTGTAGAGTAGGTAATAGTTGAAGGACTATGCTTGTAATTAATTCAAACAAATCCCATTTAATTTGATAATATTGCGGCTGATGTTTTCCTTTGACCAGTTGCCCTTCTTGAACTTCGGTCAAGTTTAAGATTTATTTTGTGAGACGAGGTGTTATTTATCTGGATTTTAGTGTTTTGTAGATGTTTTAATATAGTTTTTATGTGATTTTGAAAAAGAAATAATTTTTGTTTTTAAATAAAATATAAATATGAAGATATTCTAAAATTTCGAAAATAAATATATAAGTTATTGTTTTTTTGTGTAATTTCTTTAATCTAATGTTTTATTATAATTTAATTTAGATTAGGTAATGAAATAATTTATTTTTGATTTAATAATATAATTTTTTATAGCTAATGATTAATATTTTGTTATAACTCAATGATTATCTTAATTATATTTTAGATTTTTTATATTTAAAATAAAATATTTATCTTGTATTTGACTATGATTAATATTTGCAGTTAGTTACATGAATTCAAACATTAAGTTTTAATAAGTTGTACATACGCACAGTTACGGCCTCTTAATCTAAATTAAGATCATCACCAATTTATGGTTGAAATATTGAATTTCCTGTAACCTTTCTTGATGTCCACCAAGAACCTCACCTTCATCACCACCAACTATATATTTTTGATGTTCACCACTAACCTCACCTCATCACCAACAACTTCATCTTCTTGATGTCCACAGTAACCCGACTTTCATCGACAACCTGTATCTAGATCATATTGAGCTTCATGAACAAATTGGTCACCCGTATTCGAAACTGAATGTGGTAGGTTAGGAACCAACCTTGTCGATATTGAACTCAACATCGGAACTAACCTAATCACCAACTTAATTAAAAAGTTGATGTAAAAACGGGTATGACTTGCTTTCCATAGATTGATTACATCATCCTCGTTTTCAAGGTTAAAGAATCCGACATGTATTCACTTGAATCATATAACTATGGTCATCAGACATTTGTCACTACAATCAGATGCAATCCTGTAAACAAAAATAGCAATGTGTTCATCATAAGTTCTAAACGAGATTTAGTGTTATTTATGTAGTCTCATAAAAACAGTCTGTTTTTACATGATTCCAAGTCTTATAATATAAAAACTGTATATTTAATAATAAAATATCACATCAGAATCATACCAAAACATATACCATTTTGTCCAATTCTAAAGGTGGACTTGTTAATTAATTTTGGTTTGATGGTGGTTGAATTCACCTTTTTGGGAGTGGAGAATAAAAAATTCCTAATGGAAGAAAGATGCAATGCCAACCAGAAGAAAACACCATCAATGCTAATGATTGGAAAATTGGTGACTTGAAAAATATTTCAAGCCCTTACCAAACCCAAATGATGAATTCATGTCATCACCTCTGAGATCATCATACCTCTTATAAATTATAATGGTCTGAGTTGGGTTGGTATGGATTTCTAATCCTTCATTTGGTCAATCTAACAAAACCCATTTCTTGGAAAATGGAAAATCACTAGACAAAAAATCCATATAATAATATAAACCAACTCAGTATATCCTACACTAGAACAGGTCTCTACTGATCCAATGTATGCATGCAATCCTGACCTCCATCCCAAATAAAAAAGCAGTTGTTTTTTGTGAAAACCACATTTGTACAACTGCATGCGACCACTGAAGATGAATCTTTTACTACTAAACCCAAGCTTTTTCTACACCATCTACAACACCAATTCATCAAAATTTAGCTGACAAATAATCCATTTCAACAATCATTGATCTATTCCTTTTAGTGGTTATTTTATCCCACAGTTTTCTACGTTAGCTGAACCTGTAATCTGTGTGGCTTGCTTATGGAGTCAGTAACAGGTATGTGATCCAATCAAGTTTCAGTAAACGAACTCTGCTGTTTTTTCGGATCTTCCCATCTTTCGCTTACCATCTTGCTCCACCTTTTCAGTAGAAATGTCGGATGTCTTAACTGGATCGCGCTTTTGGTTATCAGTGCAAAGTACATCCATGGTGATATCATGTTCTTTTGTGGGTCGGGTTTTTGATGAGTAAGCAGGAGCCGGGCTGTTATTAAGATGGGGTAACAACTGGTCATTGACCGAAAGCAAAATCATCAGATAAATTATTTATTTGTGTAGGTAACCGACCTTTTTGGTGAATTGTAGTTGTCCACTTGCATTAGTGACGATTCTATCTTTCTTTTCCCCTTTGGTTTTAGCCGCCTGCAAATGTCGAACAACCACATGTTAACATTTATTTAATAGATCGATAAATTGGAAGAAATGGAGGAAGAAGATCCTTGCAAATGGTTGCAGTTCTTTCTATGAAATCAGCTTCTAGAGGTTTTGGTTTGGAATGGTACGAAACTTGGTTTTAATATAAGAAAAACCATGATCGAAAGCACTTACTTGGCAGAGGTAGTCATGGGGCTCGTTAAATCAGCAACTTGCTCCTGTAGCTAATATGAATATATATATATACATATATATATATATATATCAGCAACATAAAGAAATATATAAAGCAAAGAAAAAAATAACAGCAAAGTACAGAATTTGGGAAGGATGGTAACTTGATCGGGTGACAGGTCATTAAGCATACTCCATTTTTCGTGACGAAGATCCAGCAGTTCTTCATCCCCGTCTGCATATAATACCTGCATTGAGAAGCAAAATAGAAATTCAAAATCTATAAATAGAATGCAAGAGAAGGGGCTGGTTGGTTGGTTTTCCATTAAGTCTTGTATGGATAAAGCTGTCTGTGTGGATTAATTTGTTTAATAGATTGGGAAGGTTTGTTTGGTAGGGTTTTTTCAAATATGGAAGGAGCATGTTTTTTAATTGAGAGAGGCAGGTTTGGGAAAAAAAACTTGGCTTTTTGCATAAAGCTCTCTCCTAAAAGCTTACGCATAAGCCACTTCTATATCATTAAGCCAGTACCAAACAGTCATATATAGCTAACTAAATAAGCTGTGAGTCTCATTAAGCTGCTAACAAACGGGCCCTTTTTGCCACATTGAATAACAAGTTGTCATTGCCAAAATCGCCCTTGATCCTTGCCGAATGTGCTTGACGGTCCCCCACAATACGCTCACATGGGGATGTTTGAACAAGCTCAAGTAACGAATGGATGTATTGTATAGAAAGAAGAAAATTCTCTGTCAAACAGCAATTAGAGCATCTTCTCACCTTGTGCTTCTTATCCAAAGAATTATAAGAAGAAACGGCACCTTCGTAATACCTGCCCAAAAAGAAACTTATCCTGATCAGAAAACGATCATTAAACTTTACAATTGATAAAACATTGGCGACACAAGATTTATATTCGTCCACTTTTTGCCATCCATATGATGGTACTTACATTCGGTCTAATGGCCACCAAACTTTTATCCTATGCCCCACCAATTCTTTCCCGTATTTCTTCAAAGTATTCACATTTTGGAGATCCTGTATCAAAAATTAAGAAACTTAAAGTTAACCAACAACTTCACTAACGGAGGCATGGAAAGTAGAAGAGCAAGGGGAACATGTATCTCTAGAAAATATAAAAAGATTTTTAGGCCCATTAGACCGTGGGCAATCCTGGCCTGTTTATAGGGCAGGTAAGGGTAAGTTTTCAAGCTCGTAAAAAGGGCTTGGGTTTGCTATATTAGGCCCGTTGGACAAGAAAAATAGGTTAGGCCTGGCCCAAGCCCGCAAATGATCAGCTCTACTCAAGATGTGCAAGGAAGTCGTTAAAATGGAACATGACCAATAAGCATATAGAAAATTCTCATGTTGTAATTTGTTAAGAAGAAATTAACAAATATTTAAGATCACCTTGCCATGAGAACCATTAGCAACATGCTTCTTGGAAGAAGTAGGTTTTCTTCTATCCTGTGCTTTATCGTTCATTTGTCCCAATAATGGTTCTGCTCCAACGGAATCAGTTAGGTCCTCGTCTTCCTTCTTTATCGCTATGTTGTATAAAGAACCAGATGTCTTGGTATTTCCCTTTGCAACGCCCTTGGTTTTAGTCGATTGCTTCTCTGTAGACCCTTTCACGCCTTTAGATTTTTCTTTCGAAGAAACTCCCCCAGAAGGTGAAGCTTTGTCCTGAAATCTTGTTCTCTTCAAATCTTTCTTTGAATCTTGACTTAAATTGTTCTTCTTGTTTCTTGATCGACCTTTTGCGGAAAGGCTTTCATGAGCGGAGTCAAGGTTTTGAGATGCTTCTAGTTCTTTTCCCTTTAACCGATTTTTATGGGAAGGCTCGTCCAGTTTTGAGGACATGGTGTCGGGCTTTCTATCTATTTTCTTTGGACCTGCTGAAACTCTCTGTGTATCGGTATATTTTTGCTTCTTAGGTTGAGAGTGCATGGTCTTTGTGGATCCTCCATTCTCCAATGTATTAACATCCCTCTTGTGAATATTGTTAGTCTTCGTGGGCGGAGTTCCCTGCAACAATGTTTTAAAGTTTCGAGTAAATTTGAAGTTCTAGAAGAGAAGATATTGGTAGATCTGAACATTTACAGAATCATAAAACTAACTTTGATCAATAATGTAAGATGCCTGATAGTAATTTTAAAAACCAGTTGCACATATTTCCATAAGCTCATCAAGCAAAAAGCATTTCCAGAAGCAAATTGATTTCTTTTACATCCATTTTATAATCTTAGCATTGATTTGTGAACTTAACAACTACGTGAGGAAGTCTATGAATGCCTATTTTCTCATCATGCAAAGTAGCTGCTTCAATGACCTAGGGCCAGCCGTTTACCCAAATACTTATCCGGTAAGCGCTAACCGGTAAAATTCAACATTATCACTTACCGTAACAGATAAGATTTTAGACCATCAACATGGTGGCATCGTATGCAATAATTTACCCAGTAAGCGCTAAACGAGTAAGAGTCGTCACCCTCACTTACCAGGTAAGACTCTCAGTCCTTACCATCGCCTTTACGGCTTTACCAGGTAAGATTCTTGGTCCTTGCCGTATCCATTGAGTAAGGTAATGTGACTTAACAAGAACTTACCAGGTAAGCGTTTGGTAAACAGCCCCTTAGTCTTTGTGACTGGAACCTTCCGTTCACAAAGCATAAGCTTAAGAGCTGCTTCCGGGCTCATCCCAAAGAAGAAGAAACTGGGGCGCAGGGGAACATTTAAATAATTCACAGAACTTTCAAAGCCTCCAGTCTTGTATACAAGTTAAGGTAGAAAGCCAGATATGAGTAATGAGAGAAATCATAACCAAGTGGAGTAAATCCAAACAGATAGAATGAAATGCTAAGAAGAATGCATCTGAAGGTTTAGACTTGAGAATTTGCATGTCATAGATCATGTCGGTTACTTGACTATCAAGAAAATAAACGGAAAGTTACCCATTGCAAATTATGCATAAGTTCGAATATAAATTTGGTATACAGAAGAAACGCACCACGGTTTCATTTTGATAGGCATTCTGGCATAGGGCAGTGACCACTTCAGCATAATCATCAGTATCTGACTGTATGAGTTTCATTACTGTTTGAGAATAGGATTTGAGAGTATCATTACAATTTCTCAAGACCTTCTCTGCCAATTTCCAAGGAACGGGCAAAACATTCTGAAAGCATAGCATATAATTCCTTCAGGAACATAAGAATTATAACAAAAAATTGAAAACGAAAAAGATTGAGGAAATAATAAATACTTGATTTTCTTTTCTGACATGAGAAAGCAGAAGGGACAGAAGCTCTGTGGCAATTTCATCACTTTCTTCAATGACCAAGGTCATGATAGTTTCCATGTCCGAGAACACAGTATGTGGGTGATTTTTCCTAGATTTCATCAAGATGGAAACATCAATTTTGAAATATACACGAATTCAGATCATGAGTAAGGGCTTAACGATATAGAAAGTATATACAAAGAACATAGAGTAAGGGCCTGTTTCTTAGCGGCTTAATGAGTTTAATGAGACTGACAGCTTATTCGCTCAGCTATATATAACAGTTTGGTAGTGACTTTATGATATAGAAAGTGGCTTATTCAATAAGATTCTAGGAAGTTTTTCCCAAACCTGCCCCTCCCTAATAAAAAACACGCTCGTTTCATCAATGAAAAACCTCTCTCAAACAGAAACCTTCTCAATCTATATAGACAAATTAATCCACACAGACAGCTTTTCCACACATGACTTAATGGAAAACCAACCAAACAGCCCCTAAGTCTAAACCTTCTTACAGTTCTACAAACACGAAAACAGATGAAGATTCATTTTATGTTTTTTTCAAAAGTAAGAATTAGAAGTACATAACAAAGAATTTAAATTTAGTTGTATTAAGCCAAGGAAGACCATCGTAGCCTCTGGCCTCCTAGGAGGTCAGAGGTTCAAACCTCACCAAAGTGAGGAGGGTGTGTGATTTTATTTTGTTGCATTTTCCATATATAAGTATTATATACTTCAAAAAAAAGACCATGGTGCAAGAAGTTTATCCCTTTATATGTATGTTCTTGGTACTCGGTAAATCTAGATTCGAATTAATTATCCGATCAAACTCACCCATGAAAGGGTGATAAGAGAAAATAGGTATGGTAATCTATAATGAGGAATAAGAGCTCTCACCTAATTCCATCTAAAAAGTGTTTAAACATCTCAAGGACCAAAGCATCACACTCTAGGTCCAGCATCAATAAGCATGATTTCACTTTAGCAACAGACTCGAGAATGTGAATGACTTTATAATAACTGCGACCAGTTGTATTCAGCAGCTCCCCAAAGGCCATCACATTCAGGTGAAAGATTTCCTGTGTAACAACGATTGAACAAGGAAAGGGAACAAGAAGTATCAAATGGCTTCTCCAAGATAATTGAATAAATCTTCTATCAAAGAGGAAATAGAAAAATGCCATCTATAAAGCCTATAGATATATGAATAAGATTAAATAAATTGGCTCCGGGAATACCTTCATAATTTCATCCTTATAAGGTGGATCTGGTGCAGTTATTCGGGCTACTTCACAAAGACATGAAGCCACTGAAACTCTAACATCCACATCTGAATGCTTTACTAGCTGATCGGAAATTAGCGCCCCCATTGAGGGAACTAGTGCACTTTGCATTGAGATAGATGGTGCTTGACCCACAAAAGTTAAGAATTGCTCGATTTTCTTAAAGAAAGAAGTTAAAAAGATAGCAAATATTATAAGTATGTTGTAGCAAATAGGGAAAATTAAGAGAAATATCATGGCGAAAAGCTTAGCATTAGTAATGGTAACAGATACATAAGCCCACCCCACACGTTGGCAATAAGAAGCCATGCATCATGTACTCATAATGTACAATATCTGCTAAGTATTACGAGTGTTCAACACGAGAGAATTAAAATATTCAAACAAATAGAGCTATGCTTTTCTATTTCCTTATTTTCTTGCGCTATTCGTATCTATTCATCATTGCTTTTATAGAATCTTCTTATTAGTTGATAGATCGTCACAAAATCAAAAAGTCTGGCATTACCTGTGCAATCTGGCAGTTTTCATTTGGGTGTACAAACATTATTTATAATGATAGCTGCCTATTCGGTTATTGCCGACTTAAGAACATTAATCTATCATCAGTATAGAAAGCCAATAGAGCAGATTTCAACATAATCTTGACTTCAAACAACAAAAACAATTAACCAACCAACTTCTATGGCATAGGAACCCTAATGAGAAAGCATCTGCTATCTGTTTCAGTATATAAACACACATAATTATCAAACAGAGGGGAAATCTAACCAAACCTTACACGTTACAATGATCTAAGTTCCTCAAATTTACCACTCTCAACAATTTGGATTCTAATTGTAAATGCTATGAATTACTTACTCAAAATAATCAAGTAACGCATATACATACACGATAAAGAAAAAGGTTAACAACGGCTTACATCAAGAAGCTCTAGAAGTTCCTTGGTGGAAGAATGGGGCAATGCAAGCTGTTCCCCAGCTTCTTTAAGCTGTTTCTCCAAATCGTTAACTGGACAAACATAATCCATTTTTCGATCGAAATTTGACCTCCGATCGCACTCAAGCACAAAACCCTTCAAGGGTCAAAATACCAAATTGTTGAATTGATTTTACGCAAGTATGTATGTGTGCGTGGTTATCAGGGCAAAGGGTTTCTTCATCGCAATCAACTAGCTTCGTCGGAAATCGCAAAACCTAATACCTGAAATCGTGCATTCGGATATACCTATCGATGAATTTGGCGAGTGAAAGGCTGCGTGAGAGAGCCCTGGGGTTCGATTGCGGTTTCTAGATGACAACAAGTGATTTACATTTCAGATTCACAGTCACATATAAGTATATATATATATATATATATATATATATATATATATATAACGCCAACGGACCTAATTTCTAATTTAAATTTTATAAAATTTCTTAACTTTTTTTCTTATCCAACGTTTATCCGGTAATGCTTACCAACAGTATTGATAAGATTTTAGTGTATTTAAAATGGTATTGTATGTAAAAATTTATTCGGTAAACACTTACTACGTAAGAGTCGTTACTCTCACTTACCGGGTAAGACTCACCATCCTCTTCATTGCTTTTATCATGTAAGATTCTCAATTCTTGTTATGTTCATCTGGTAAGGTAAATAATTGGATATACGTTTAGTTAACAGTCCTTTAAATAAAACAGTGGGTAAAGAATACTTGATATAATGAAATGTGATGTGTGACATTCTTTATAATTGTTTGTTACTGGATCTTACGTAATTTTATACAATAAAAAAGCGGGTTTTCATCAAGACGGAAAGTCGGATTGTTTTTTATGACTGCAACGATCAGCAAAAGTCCAAATTGTCTGCTATTTTGGAGAATTTTAAGAATTCAAGAAACCTACACTCGTGGAGCCTTTGAGAAATATTTCTGTAATTCCATTATTAAATAGGGTAGAACTTTCTTCTCTTTTACGTGATGATTTTAAATAGTCTTTTTATAACGCTTCTTTCTCTTCAAAACAACGGAGTTTGCCTTCTCCTGTTGTTCAAAACTTTTCAAAGTAACGATTTAGGTTTACTTTGCCTCATTATTGAATATTATTTTATAAGAACCTTTTGTCTTTAATACGAGATGTAATAAAACGTCAGGCATTCATGTGTTATAATTTTTATGACGTGATCGTTACAAAATCTTACAACAATATTTGTATGACAGAAGAAGCGGTTCTTAACAAAGTGGATAAGTCAAATTTGCTTTTTACTGATTGCAAAGATCAACAAACGTCCAAGTTTACTGATATCTTGGAGAATTTAGAGAACTCAATAAACCTAGAGAATCTTGAAGAGGCATCTTCTCGTAGGGTTGTGTTCCAATGAAAAGAAGAGTTAAAATGAGAAGCGTAAGAATGGATCTTCACCTTTGGATGCACATTAGGATGAGATGCGCTAAGATGTACCGGATCAATCATCGTATCAAACGCGAGTCATGGGTGGGTTTGAGATTAAAGGTGATCAAGAATTCAAATTCTTCTTCATGCTTCTCTCCTTAACTCTTCTTCTCACACGATCTTTCACATCTTATGTTTATCCTCTAGATTATGTTTATTTGCAGTTATTTACACGAATTCAAACATGAAGCTTTAATAAGTTGTACTTACGCACAATTTACTTGTGATCTTGAATTTTAAGTAATATACATCACTAAACAGTATTTCATATATATAAAAATTTGTTTCTAAGAGTTTTTATCAAATAATTTATTATATATTATAGATAATTGAAACAAATCAGTAATATATTTTATTATATTAACATAAGCAATAATAAAAATAAAGAGTTCCTATTTATTTACGATTTGATGGACATTCCTTATATTTTTATATCATGGATACGAAATATTTGCATCACATGCATGATCCTCATATGTCAAACATATAACAAACTTTCTAAAAAGCATCAAATATAAATCTTAAATATAACCGTTATAAAAAATTGATGATTTTTAATAACTGTTACACAAATAACATATGCATAAACACAAACACGACTAGATCAAAACGAAACAAATGTACAAACAGGTGGAGTTTGTTCCATTAAGAGTTAACCTCTGAATCATTAACAGGTGAATTTTGTTTGGCAAAAAAAATCTATCCCTTAATGATTCCAAAAACCATCTGAATGATTTTGTATCATGTGTCTCCCTTAACCATTCAGCACCTAATTTCATTGTAAACAATTACCAAAAAATTATATTTCATTTTGCACTATATCATGAAAACCTCTTAATCATTATACACCAAAACATTCAACAACTGTCAAACAGTCCCTTAATCATTATAAAACCACTAAAATTTAATCAATTACTAAACCAAATCAAACCCTAAAACTAATGTGATGTTTACCAAATGCTTATCATGCAAATGTTTAGCAAGTGTCATTTGGCTTATGAGGCGGGCATTACAAGAACCAAAAATCTTACCTACGAACCATAGCAATAATCAAGAATCAAAAATCATACCCGATAAGTGATAAAGAAGACTTTTACCCAGTAAGCATTTAACAGGTAAAACACGTTTACCAACAATCCATTCTAATGACCAAGAATGTTATCCGATAAAATAAAGGTGGTGACTATTGCCAATAAGCAACGCTTCCAAGAGTCTTCGCACCATTGCTCATTTGCTATCTCTATCTGGATTCTTGAGGCCAGGACACAAAGGATGACAAACATAAACAGAAACAGACCAAACGCCTGAGAAGAGATCCGAGTAAAATTCAATAAGCTTCAATGAAGCGGGTTTAGGTTTAAAAGAAGCGGACCTTTTAAGATCCAACGACCGGCAGATCAACAAAATCAAACTAGTCTAGTATATCCGAACACAAGCTAATGGATAAAGCAATAATCAAAACTTGGAAAAGAGCTTTGGATAGATTAGATGGTCCAAAATTTCCTACAAACAATGTTTCCTCCAATTAAAAAAAGCAAGTTTTTGACTAAATAAAACCACATCACACATTTTGATCCATTGCTACATCTTAGTGAGATTTCACATACTCCTGAACAATGTGAAGACCTTCAGATTCCTCTCCGTAATCCTGCAAAAATGTTCGACAAAACTTTTAAAATATATTTAGGAAAACCGAAACTGGACTCAACAATAGGTTTCGCCTTCCAACTTTACCTTCACGACAAGGCATGAGCAACCGACAACCTTCCTTGCCTTCCCTTCCGAATCTATCTTGCACAACTGCAATCAAACAATTCAATCAAACGCTAAAAATGATCGTAGACCCACAAATCATACAGCCATAATATGTGCTCAAAGTCCTATTATGGGTTATGCATAAAAATTTGCAAGAATATTAAATAAAATAAGATAATGCATAAACAAGAAAAGGCAATCATTAAAGGCCATTTTCTATGTAAGCCCGACTCGAACTTTCTATGTAATAACAAAAACCACCCAACAGATCTTTACTAATATTGTGGAAAAAAGAATTATATATTATTTATAGTACAATTATGCCACCACTTGAAAAAAAAAACTGGGTCCGCCTAAGTGTACTGGTTGTTACAAACTCTCCCACTGAAATTCATGTCATCACGCTCGATGAGATTTTGCCCCCACCATCCCAATGGTACAAGGATGACCTCTGATTACATTTGTAACGCCCTATAACCCAAAGCTGTAGGCTGATCCAATAACCTCCAAATCAACTTATTATCATGGTGGAGTTATCGATAGTTCATAACTTTGAGCATATACGGAGCTCACAAATCTCATTTTTATCAATGTAGGGCGGGTTGTTATGTAGGAAAATAACTACCAACATTGCAAAACCTCAAAAGTCCAAATATTATATCAAAGACAGCACTCTCCAGAATAAATGTGAGGCAAGAGACTTACACCAGCCCACTCGCCAAGAGTCTTTGCACTGGGAACTGTTATCAAGCTCACATTGTGGTCAGCGCAAAGTGCTTTGACCAATTTTTGATAGTCTGGCTGGTTACAGTCCTCTGCTAATACACAAATTTGGGCAGCATGCTTCTCGATCACCTTTGCAGCCTCGTGAAGTCCACGGACTAGGCCACCATGAGCAAGTGATTTCCTCAGCACAAGCTGCAAAGCAGTCATGATGTCCATTGGCTCACCAAGGGCAGGGGCGGGAGCAGGGGCAGCCACCTCTACTGGAACAACAGCCTCTTCACTGCAAAAGAAATACACTCATTTAAGCATAAAAAGACTTGAATACCATAAATGTTTACTCTGGAAGAGATATTATATTTCCGAAAAAGGTAACTTAAAAGTATGGCCATGTTTAATATCAACTCAAGCTCAAAATAACAGAACTTAGCAAACTTATTACTCCCCTGCCCTAAAAAATAAAATGTCCCCAATGAAAAGTGCAGACAGTTTTAGAAATGTGTAATTATTACGCTTTTTAATCAGCTAAATGACAATTTTACCCTTGATAATAGGGTAATGTCCAAGACCCTACTTTTAATAGAGGAAAAATGAATTTCTTCGTCTCATAATTAAGGGTAGAATTGTAAAGTCACTTACTTCTGAAAGTACGACGCTTATTTTGGGACAAACTAAAATAACATTATCAACACTATTTGGGAGGGAGGGAATACAAGTTTACAGCAAATGAGTCATGTTGGGCTGGTTGGAACAGACAATGAAATGTTGGATACCAGTGAGACCATAATTACAAGAAAATTGTTGACTTGATTAAAAAATCATGATTAGACATCTTATCATCCATGAAAAGAAGTTATATTAGGACTCAAAATCAAAATTAACAAGATAATGCAATCTTAAAGGATAATATCAGGTATTACTATTGTATAAAAGGGAAGCTGTTTACATACCCTGCCATATTCTGTTGATCAATTCTTCAGTTCAAACTGTAACAAAGAGCAGTAGAAAAATAAGTCAAAAAAATGTAAATTATAGTAATCTGCATTCCAATTTAACAGCAAAGAGTTCCTATTAGAGAGTGATTCCTAGGTCACAGATTACCAAAATCACCTCAGAATTACTGCTCAAATCAAGGGTTCAGTAAAAACGTAAAATCCAAATCAGTAAATTATTGACCACATAGTTACTTGAAACATTTGTTGTTCAAAATTTCTCCAGTAATACAAATACAAACGGATACTCCAAAACAAGGAACACAAAATGCAACCACTGATACAAAACTCTAATCGAAACAAAACCCTAACATGGAAATCAAAGCTTGGAAATAGAAAATTCTTACTTGATTTGAAGACGTTGAGGAATCAACGAAGAACAGAGCACGAATTAGGAATCGTTTGAATCGCCGCTCAGGTCTGTGACTGCGTTTAGAATTAGGGCAACAATGTAAGCCCGCGAATGGGTAAACACGATCGGGTTGGGTCTTTCAGTGGGCCTGGCCCAACTCCGACCAAATAGAATAATAGATGCACGGGAAATACTAAAAAAATCCAATTAACTTTAGTGTTTGGAATGATTAAGTTTTTGGACAATTTTTGGGAACAAATAAGTTCTTGGATAATCTAAAACATGTTAAATAACTCCTTGGACAATTTTTTTGAATAAATAAATCATTGGACAATTTAAAACATGTTAAATAACTCATTGGACAATTTTTGGAACAAATAATTCTTGGACAATCCAAAACATGTTAAATAAATTCTTGGACTTTTCTAAAACATGTTGAATACATTCTTATGACTTGTACAACTAGTTAAAGTGGTAAAATAGTGGAAAAAAATTCAAAATAAACCCCAATAAACATTCATATTTTGAACGATTAAGTTCCTAAATATTTTTTGAAACAAAAAGTATTTAGATCTATAAAATTAGACAAATATAACAAAAAAAAATACTTACATTTACAAAAAAATAATTACGTTTAAAAAATATTTTTGATAAAATTTATTTTAATTAAAATTAAAATTAAAATATATTCTGTCAGTGATTTTTCAAACTAAAAAATTTAAAAAGAATTATTATTAAATTTATTTTAATTAAAAATAAAATATATCATATATGTGATTTTTTAAATTAAAAAAGGAGATTTAAATATAAAAAAAATTGTTTGGTTTTATACAATACTAGAAGGGTATTCGTGTAATACAGTAAGATACATCTTGATTTTAATATTTTGTTTTATTTTGTTTCTGTCAATGTTATAATACGGTTTTATATGGTTTTCAGAAAATGATATTTTAATTTTTAATTGCTTATAACTTCGATATTAAAAAAACTAAAATTAAGTCGGTAGATATATTAAATTTTTTATTTATTAACACTCTTAAATATAAAAATTAAAATTAAAATATTCGACGGTAATACGCATATAAGTTTAAAAAAAAATTAAAGTATCCGTCCGTAATTCATCGTCAATTAGGTAATTACTGACGGATCATCCACAGATTATTTATTTATTATTTTTTTGATTATTCCATTTGTCAGTAAGTACCCACGGATAAAACTTTTATAAATTTTTTATTTATTTTTAATTGACTCTGTCAGTAATCTGTTGGAAATCACAGACGGATTTTTGCCATTGATGCTATCTGTAGGTGATAGTCCTTTTTCTAGTAGTGTTGGGGCCTTGGGGGTATTTCATTTACAAATTCAACTATTAATATAAACCATACAAACCAATTTTAACTATTTATCTAGTCTAATGAATATTTGAAATTGTTTTCTAACATAAAACGTTGATCATAATAAATGAAACACTGATAATTTTCCATAAATATTGAAATCATAATAAATAAACTTTCAACATTTCTATAAATATTTCAATTAATTAATTTGTATGGTTTATACTAATGGTTAAATTTGTAAAACATCTATCTATATGTATCTCTATACTATATTATAAAGTATTTGATAAAAAAAATTTAAAACCATTTTTTATACATGAAGTATTATTTATTAATGCATATTACTTGAAATTCAAGATTACAAATATTTTTGATACAACTTATTAAAGCTACATTATTAAATTCGTGTGACTAACTGCAGATAAACATAATCAAATGTAGGATAAACATTCATTTCAAATATAAAAAATCTAAAATATAATTAAGATTATCATTGAGTTCTAACAGAATGTTTAATTATTATCCTTATAAAAAATTATATTGTTAAACCAAAAATAAATTATTTTGTTATTAAATTATAATAAAAAATTAATTAAAGAAGTTACACAAAAAAAAAACGAGAACTATTAAATAGTTATTTTAATACTAATATCAAATTATTTTTTCAAATTTTTATGATATCTTCAATTTATATTTCATTCAAAAAACATTATCATTTTCTCAAAACCACATAAAATCGTATTATATCGATAGAGACAAAGAAATAAAAATTTAAACATTACAATCAAGATTTATCTCGTTACATTACACGAGTAACTCTTCTAACGTAATTTAATAGATGATACGTTACCCTCATTTAATTTGGTTGTTCAAGTTTCATTAATAGAAGGGAGGGGTCAACCTCATGCCTCTTCTCAATTATTTGAGGGACATTTAGTAAACTTGTCTATTCATGTAGCTTATCTTTATCTATATATGTATATAGGGTTGGGTTCACGTGAGACCAACCTGTTTTTGTGAGACCCNAATTATAATTAAGTATTTTGTTTGAACATAACAATTATCCTAATTATATTTGATTTTTTATATTTAAATGAAATATTTATCTTGTATTTGATTATATTTATCCACAGTTAATTACACGAATTAAGGCATAGAGCTTTAATAATTTGTATTTATACACAATTTACTTGTAATCTTGAATTTTAAGTAATGTGGATTAATAAACAGTACTTCATGTATAAAAAATGGTTTTTAAAAGTTTTGTTAAATGCTTTATAATATAGTATTGATAATTGATTCATTCTCTTAGAAACTCAAGTCATCATTCCAGGTTAAACTTGTCATTTTTATTTTCAATCTTATTTACATTCCCCTCCTGAACCAAACAGCTCCTAAGTGTCGTCAGGTTATCTCACAATAACTTTTATTTAAACTAATTTCGGCATATTGTTACTGGAAGAAATCAACCCTGATAAAACTCAACATTCACAACTGTTGTGTATGTCTGGATTCGAACCCTGGACAAATGAGATATTCCATCACAAGCCCAGAATTTCAACCACTACGCCACAACCCTTGTAGTTCATATCAACTTTTTTTGGGTTTGGTTTGATCGAATTATCAGTTGTTTCTCTTTTTTTGAGGCCAGGTTCGATCAATTTACCAATTGTTGTTTCTTACGCATCCCTAACAAAAAGTGGCGAGTCAACTTTATTTTATCATTGTACCTCGTACTTTTGAAATTTCCAATTTTTGTCATTCTATGTTTCCTAATATTCTTTGATAAAAATGCTTGTCGATCTGAAGAATTTGATCTCGTTTTTTACCTTTTACAATTCCCAAGAGGAGAAAGAATGCAACATAGTCGGATGTTATTGTGACGTAGGACAAAGTATCATGTATGAGATATAAGGAAGGAGAAAATGGCACTGATAGAAAAACAGATACTGAAGTGTTAGACCTTGTCGACGTTGTCGTAGGCTTAATCGATTGTCCCCATTCTCCATCCTCAGCAAAATTTCCCACCGATTTTTTGACGAAAGATGTTCGACTTTAGTTATGAGTTGCACATAGTATGGGAGATTCTTATGTATATAACCTTAGTCGAGATTTTAATTAAATCAACGACATTCTCATAAGTATAAATCCATTTTTCTTATATAGGCCAAAATATTATGAATCTAACTAAAAACTCATTTAAAGTCATTTACCTAAATGACCCCTAATATGATGTACTGTGGTGTAACTTTCTAATATTTATCGTATATTAATACTAAAAACTAAATATAAATTTTGATTAAGATCAACAATTTCTGTTTCAAAACATGTAATCATGTGTATATGTATATAAATAACTAAATATTCAATCACAAGGGTGGTGTCTGATTGGTTTGAACTTGGCTCCAAAGGTTAAAAGTACCAGGAGTGTTTCAGGTTCAAATCTAATAAGGAATAAAAATCTTCCTGTGGCCACGGAGGTTCAAATGTGGTGACTCCAAGCTATCTGCAAAGCAAGTGGTCGCCTTGAGATTAGTCGGCTCGTATAGCGGGTTGGATATCCAGATTAATAAAAAAAAATCTAAATATTCTAATTTATGTTGATTTTATTTTGAAAAAATCAAATGGTGCGAAGTGGTTCTCCAAAAACCAAGGTTCTAAATGACATGACGGAGAGGTTAAACCTCAAGCCTTACTAGTTACCAGCGAAGCCACGGCGTTTTCTAAGACGTGCCTTAAGGAGGGACATATATAGTGTTTTGAATAATGTAGCACACGTAAAATTCATATAAACTAAAAAGGAAAGAAGAATCATCGATATCCAATATATAGAGCTTATAGAAAATGATATCAAGGTGTAAAATCGAGATTAAATCTCTTCGGTCCCATTTGATTTGCAGGAATGAAAGGATTTGGGGGAATCTAGATTCAAATTCATTCCAATGTCATGTTTGGTTTGTTGGATTGCCCAAATTTTAAATCTTAGGTTTTCCTTTGGTTTGTTGGAATGTCCGGATTTGAAATCTTTTAGGATTTAATCAAAATTCTAAATCCTACAAACATAGGATATTGAAATCCTTGGCGGGTGTTCGGAATTTCATGGACTTTTTTAGGATTGTATGCAATAAAGTTTTAAAAAATGTTTAAAACATTTATTGTGTAATAATCGATTAATAAAAATTTAATTTAGTTATTTTTAAAAAATATATAGTTTTTTTATAAATTATTTATAAATAATGGAATCCGATTCCATTTCAAATACTACAACCCACACGCACAAATGATTTCAAATTCATTTCAATTCAAATCCCTCCAAATCCAAATCCTTAAAAAACAATCATGCAAACCAAACAAGCCTGAATGGTTTGAAGAGATTTGAATTTCATGAAAAGATTTGGAATTTTTGGTGTGTTTGGGGTTTGTAGAATTTGTAATGGAATTGATTGATTACTTAATTAATTTCTTTTTGTTAATTGATTACTTAAAAACAAATGTTTTAACACATTTTAGAACATTTATTACATAAAAGTTCTACGAAATCCCATAAAATACCAATTACGCCCATAGGATTTCATGTTTGTGGTATTTCATTGAAATCCCGGGTTTTCAAATCCGAGAAATCCTTCAAACCAAACATGAGATTGAAATGAAATTCAATTCCAAATCTCATCCAATCCTACGAACCAACCGGAACCTTAGAATTTAAACTTACTGCTTTCTCCGGTTTTCAAGGAATTCATATTTGACTCTTTGCGTATTAGAATGAGAATAAATATTTACCTATTTAGGCATTAAGTTGTTAAGTTTCTTATGTTTATTTAAGTCGCAGGTCTCAATTCTCATACATAATTTATCCTTACAAGTTATATATTAAAAATACCCACACCTTAACGTGTTGTAACACACCATAACACATTGTAACGTTTCATAATGCGTTATAACGGGAGTCAAGCCTTAAAATGGAGCTATAGGGGTTAACTTGACGTCCATGATATGCCATAACAAGACCATAATGAGTTATTTGGAACTAGGCATTTTAATGGCCAAAAATCTTACCTGACTACCTTAGATTATAACTACTTAGAAGAACATCATATTAGGAAAATCCTTCAGGCAACATAATGCATTTTTCTTTCAGTGAGATAACATTGATAAATTACTAAACTACCCATATAAAATTTGATCCCTAAAACCTTAACAAAATGATTTCACCCACCTATGCTGAATCAATTGTGTCATTAAAAGTAAAATGAAAAATTACACCAAAATAGAACAAACTTTCACCTAATTTCTATTTTGGGGAACCAATTTTCAAAATCGTCATTAAAAGATCTTTATCAAACTTTTGGTTTCATTTGCCAAATTTGATTTAAACTTTAATGTTAATACAGATTGGTTAGATATAAAAATCTTGAATGTGATATTTAATATTTATTTTTTATTGCATCAATTAATTTTTTTTATTAAATTGATTTTTTTATTTTGTATTAGTAAAAAAAATAATTTTTATTGTAGTAATTTGAATTATTTTTTTTAAATTCAATTTGATATCGAATTAAAAAACGATATTTTGAAATGAAAAATAAATTTTATTGCATTAATTTTTGAAAAAAACGAATTTTAGTTATTTTTTTATAATTATTTTGCAAGTTGAATCCTCAAAATAGGAATCAGGTGCAAATTGGTTCCCCCAAAATGACATTTTTAAAAGTCGGTTCCCCAAAATAAAAATCAGATAAAAATTGGTTCCATTTTGGTGCAACTTTCCCAAATTAAAAACCCATTTCCAGGTAAAAATAGAAGAAATCGGGTAACAAAAACTTGTTGAAATATGCAAAATGTTATATCATAAAAGCATTCAATAATCATCAAAAATGGAAGCCCAAACGGCAAAAAATTGCAAGGCTTTTACCAAAGAAAGCAAAGAATAAGAGAAGCTGATTTTACCCTTGAGTTCAAAATTCAAAGAGAGACCTTTTGGTTCACATTCACACCTAAACAGATTTCGAGTTCTAATTCATTTTACCGATCAACTCGTTGATTTGATCCTCACGGTTTCCGGAATCACCGCCATCCCTAAACGGCCGTTTCTTACCTTGCAACGCCTTCTGCGGCTCGTTCAGACTGAACGGACACAAAAAATTGCAAACCTCCTTGAAATGTGGGCCCACATTTGCAATCTCTTTTACGATGTCTTCTATGCATATAATTCCATGCTCACTCAGTGCCTGCCAAAATCATCAACTCGGTGAATATCTAATGTCTTAAAAATGCAGAAACAACGCGATCATATATAAAACGCCATACCTGTTCGATGATGTTATTATCCGTCAAAGGAAATATCTGTTTGTTAACTTTTGCCAACCCCTTCTTGTATATCAGCTCATTCATGCTCTTGAGGTTTGGATATCTTTAGATGGTCAAAATAGACAGGTTTAGAATATTATTACCATTATAATATAGCACCCCCTGGAAAATCCCCAACGTCTGTGGGAGACACTCAAACTGATGACCTATGGACAAGAGCTCAAGGCTAAGCCATTATTTGCCAATTGAGCTGGCGCTAAAGGATGGGAGCTGTTTGGTTGGTTTTCCATCAAATCCTGTACAGATAAAATTGTCTGTATAAATTGGGAAGGTTTTTCTTCCGGAGGATTTTTTCAGAGCGTGTTTTTTAATTGAGAGGGGCAGATTTGGAAAAAACTTGGCTTTCTGCATAAACCTCCCCCTAGAAGTTTACTGAATAAGTCATTTTCTATATCATTGAACCACTACCAAACAGTCATATGTAGCTGACCGAAGAAACTGCGAGTCCCATCTCATTAAGCTTATTAACCTGCTAACAAACAGACCCTTAGAAGAATTAAACAATGCAATCACTTGGATCTGTGACTTACCCGTAAGTCACATACGGCTCCACTTTCTGTAGAATTTCCAATATTCTGTTATTTGCTTTGACAAAAACACCACTGAATATTCTTCTAAGTCTCAGAGAGTATAAGAGTTTCCTTGTCTGTGGATGCATGTCGCTTTTACTGAAAAAAAGAACACTAGGAGTAATTAACTACACAAAAAACAGAAAGACTACAATTTCACATGAACAGTTGCCAAAAAACAAATATCGTCATCGGTGACAGACCCCTGTATGCGGATGACAAAAAGAAGCTTTGATTGCGGGAACATGGATGCTTTTATTGGTCGTTTTCCCCTGTGTTTCATTTTGATGAGATCAGACTCCTGAATAAAAACCTCAGTTAGTTATGCTAAAACCGGGAAAAAAATTGAGCAAACAAACCATCAAACAAATATTAATTAGCTGAAGTTAATATGTATTGGTCCATTAAGACTCTTTTTTGCAAACCAGCTGATAAGCTAGCTGTTAGCTGATAAGCTAGCTCATGAACTAGTCACCTTTGGTAAAAACTAGCTCATAAGCTATAAGACAATGTAGAAAACATAAAAGAACATGCTGAAAATTTAAATGACTTAATTGGCAGCAGAAGTGGAAAAAAGCCATCGGAGCTTAGTGAAACACTACTTGAAGTAGTTTTCCAAAAAGCTAGCTTATGGCAGACCAAACGAGATTTTTTCGGTGATGTGAATGTTTACTTTATCACGGAATTCTCTGATAAACTGTTCTGGCTTCTTGATAACGAAATTATCACGCTTAGATTTCTTCACCCTTTGCTCCAACTGCTCCTTCCTTCTATTCGCCCAGTCCTCATTGCTTTTTCTTTTCTTCAATACAATCTCGGACACATAATTTAGAGGCTTTGGTTCCTCATCAGCCATGACGGTTGAAGCTACCTGATAAAAACAGAAGGCCATATAAGAGATTTTGCATGTGGCACCTAATATACAATTAAGTAGAAGAAGTTATTAAACAATTGTAGTACATTATACATGTAGGTTCTACTTCCCAACCACAAATACTGAAAATTTGACCATCAAACCACTTGGTTTGTGGCACACCAGTTAAGGCTCGGAGATGTAGTTGAAATCTCATCTTCCCCGGTTTGAATCCAGGTGCTGCAAAAGCCCTTGTGGCCATTGAGGTTCCCCTTCCGTAACTCCAATCCGTTCATGGTCACGAGGGGGATTAGTCGGTGCGCATAAGCTGGCCGGGATACTAACGGTTACCCAGAAAAATTGACCATCAACACAAATATTTCTAGTATCATGAGTTTCTTCTATGGTGCCTTAATGCAATGATGCCACAACCAAATACAAGTAACGGCATTTAACTAATACCTATGCGACTCGAACTAACTAAATCACTATAACTTCGAAAACTCTATCATCTCAGGGTTAGGGTTATACATTCCTTGCACCCTGCACAAAATTGAGTTAGAGTTTTACATTCCTTGCAGCAGTCACTACTTTTGAGGGGAGACGCCGGGTTCGTAAGGTTTTAATAAAGGGAATGATTAACTCCTTCATCTCATAATTAAGGGTAGCATTGGAAAGTACACAATTACGTCTGAAAGTAGACGCTTACTTTTGGACAAACTAAAATAGAATTGTGAAAACTTATTTCGGGAGGGTGTACAAACTTACCAGTAACCACTAACTGCTCGTTTTTGGCTGGTTGGAACGGAAAGGGAAATGTTCAATACCAGCGAGACCATAATTCCAAGAAAATCATTGATTTGATTAAGAAATCATGATTAGATATCTCACCATCAATGAATATAATTTACTTTAGGAGGATTCGATCAAAATTAACAAAATAATGCAATCTTACACGACAATACCAGGTACTGCTAATAAAAGGGGGACTGTTTACATACCCTACCATATTCTGTTGCTAAATTCTTCAGTTGGAAATGTAACAGAGCCATAGAAAACTAAGCCAATAAAGGTAAATTATAGTATTCTGTAGTCAAAGTAAACAGGAAAGAGTTCCCATTGGAGAGTAATTCCTAAAAGGGCAACTCCAATCGTACCCTACCGGCCAGCAAAGAGAACTTAATTTTGCCGATAATGATGAGAAAAGGAAAATATGACCACCTCCTGTTCAAACGGCATTTAAACAAATGATAGAGAAATCGAACATCACGGCGTCCTGTTTACAACGAATATTGCAGCTAGAAAACACTAACAAAACCTCAAAACATAAACCATTTAAACAAAGTTCTTGATTCTTTAAGAAATTACAAGAGTGAGAATAAAAACAACAACAGAAAGTTACGTAGGATAATTTCAATCACAAAACTCGGCTACCAAATAAGCAGACATCTGTTTTCTCAACCGTAAAGAATAGAGAAATCAAATGTCGATTATGAAGAACACAAACCTAGATCGGAAATCACCGAGTGATACGAAAGCTCTCTCCGCTGCTGCGTATTGCGGAATGACGATGGTTGGAATGTAAAACCCTAACCCTGGTATTCAGAGTGGAGGACGCAAGTAGGGTAAAAGCCTAACCTGTCTTCACGAATGTGGATTGTGGAGAGAAGAAAAGAAAAAAAAAACGAAAAGAAAAGAATGTGGTGTAAAAGAAAAAATTATATATTTAGTATTTAAGTCAAAATCTATAAAATAAATTATAATTAATTTGATCAGATTCTTTATTTTATAGATTTTATTATTAATTATCTATATTTATATTATCTTATAAACCAAATTTTTTAAAAGTTTTAAAAACAATTTTTAATATACAAAGTCTTAAAAACAACTCATAATGCATTAAGTACTACTACTTTTATGCATTTAGTTTTAAAATCTCTTAATATACAAGTAAAATAACATATAATACAAGTTACCGATGCACATTATTACTTATTCTTTTCATGTTTACAAGATATTTTTGACACATTTCACTCATGTCTTCACCCTCTCATCAGGCCCGTTTTTGACATTTTTTAGGCCCTGGGCGAACATAAAAACAGGGCCCCCACTGCAAGAAACAAGACTTTTAGCAACGACTTTTGTTGTCGCTAAAAGTCCGTTTATCATTAGAAAGAGTATATAACAACAACATGTCATCGCTATAACTTATGAAACATGTCATCGCTAAAAGGCGCATCGTCAAARCTCAMTTTTCTTGTAGTGACCTTCAGTAATAAATGTTTTTCATTAGTATAAAATTGAGTACAAGAAATGTTAATAATTTACTRAGTAAAAAAATCTTATTTATCTATATTATAGATATATAAGAGAGTACTTAAATTTACGTACTTCTTATTATGTAATTTCAAACCAAGAGTATAGAAACTATGGTTGATAAATTTTTATAAAAAGTAAGAAATTTTTACTTTATAACAAGAAATATGTGTTATTTTGATACAAAAAGAGATTTCGTGTTAATGAAATAATCATGAGGTCAATGAGAGATCAATAATAAAGAAGATTATCAAGGTTTTTTAGACAAGTAGACAAATGAAGATTAATAAGAATATGAAAGAAAATATGATCCATTGAGATCTAGTAAAAATAAATAATGAATTAAACATATAATATGCAAGTTCAACAAATGATTGTTTGAGCACTTAAATAGAATCTTGTGGTGTGGTGGAATCTCAATGAAAGATACATAAGTCAAACAATTGATGAAAATATTTAAATTCTATTTTTCTTTTTTTTTTTGCTCAACTAAAATAAAATGTTAATATTAAAAGTTTATGGAACATGACATATATAAGAGACATTACTAAATACATCTAGTAGAAAAAATTTATTGATTAATCACAAAATCATGAAACACGTCATAAATCATAAGAACAATAGATTAATTGTAAAAAAAAAGTAAAATATTTTATGTAGAAGCAAAAATAGATAACAATAGTCAACAAAAACAATTAGAACAACATAACCAATAGTCAATAAAAATAGAAATTGATAAAAATATATAACAAAAATATATAGCAATAGCAAGCACATGATCTTAACGTTGAATTGTTGAAGCACGAAAATAGTCAAGCATATAGAGATAGCAATAGCCAATATCATTGGACCTTGTTGGAGATAAAAAAAAATTATTGGGACAATAAACAATAGCATATAATGAATGATCAATTTATTTTTTTATTTTCTTCTCCAATGTAATTAGTTGATATATTTTTGGGCCCTTATTATCTACTAAATTATTTTTGTCTCTTATTATATGCTACAATTTTTTGGTTTCTTTAATTTATTAAATTATTTTAGACTACTATATACTTTAAGGGGAAAATTTGGGCCCCTTATATTTTTGGGCCCTGGACGTACGCCCGTGCCGCCCTCCCCCAGGGACAGCCCTGCCTCTCATATATCTATGTTTTCTCCTCATCCCCCAATGTGAGATTCAAAATAATATTCACCATGAGTTATTCATTCATCTCTTATTCAATTGCTTTAGAACTCACGGTCTCGCTTTCGATCTCTTGATTCTTTGCCCTTTGTGTAAATCGAACATATTTATGGAGTCGTTTAAATATGTTGGATTTTAAATGTATTGGATTTTAAACTCTCATGTAATTTTTTCATCGATAAATTGTAATTGGAACCATAACTTTATTTTATTCAAATTGTATTAATATGTAAAGATCAATTGTAACTTATATCATCGTTAAATCTTCTCTAATAAAACCAGTGAAACTTCAAAATCATTAAAATTCATGGCTCCCGCTGCATTGCGTGGGTACACAACTAGTATTATTTAAATATTCTACACTTTTATAATCTCAATACACTTTTTTTAAATACATATAAAATGGTACTAATCCAACCCTCGTTGGTGGGATGAATAAAGAACTAGAGGTGAGTTATTATGCAATCTTTTACATTTATACAACCAATACAACTCAATCTCAACCGTCTATTTAATTTGATAAATATGTGATTTCATAAAGGTTTTGATTGTTTTCTAATATAAATGATTAATCATAATTAATTAACTCTAATCATCTTACATGAATATTCAAATCATAATAAATGAATTCTCATCATTTTCATAAATATCTCAATTGATTGGATTGCATTGGTTGTACAAATTGACATGGTTGCATTTGAAATATACCCTAAAGAACTATTCCTCTTCGTTGTCTTTGGATTTTTATAGAATTTTCTATAATTGGAGTTTTCTCCATTATTATCTATTTTAGAGAATGAGATAGGAAAACTGTTGGAGTATTATAGATAATAAAAAATTATCTTCTCTATTTTAAAGAAGCTGTTGGAGATCCTCTTATAAAATATGGAGTATGCTTTATTTTATTTAAACTTCGTACCCTATGGTTTTCAAATTTTCAATTTTTACCCTTCTATGTTCCATTTTATCGATTTTCATGTTGTGTATAAAATTTTATATCAAAAACGTATATTCATTATAGAAATACACTTTTATGAGTTACTCCTAAATGACGCACTAAAATATCGTTGGTTGAAATTGAGGAATTGAGGATATGGTTCTGCAGTCAAAACAATTTTGTCACTTTCCTGTATCAATCGAACGACGACCCTTTCAAGCGTTTCTTAAGGACCAATAGATGTGAGATCGATAGATACATACTCTTTGACAAAACTTACTTCATGCATCAAATTAGAATTTTGTCTAAACGTTAAGAATTGTTAAAATCTGTGACAACAACTTTAGAATTTTGATGGGTAGTTATGTAAAAGATAATGTGCATCCAATGACATCAATTACAAACAGTAGAAATCGTATATATTCAACTGTGTTCATAAGTGTTCATATATGTTCAATTTTTGTTCATAATTGTCACAAAATGTTCACATATATGTTCAATTTATGTTTACAATTGTTATAAGTGTTCATATACTTTTAATTTGTGTTCATAATTGTCACAAGTGGTCACATATATGTTCAATTTGTATTCATAATTGACACAAGTGTTCATATATGTCAATTTGTGTTCATATGAGTGTATACATATCAATTTGTGTTCATAATTACCAAGCCACTCGCTTTGATTATTTACTTCACTTTTTGATTTCAAACTTCGACTATCATCATAAACAATTTTAACATTCTCAATGTTGTCGTGTTGTTTTCCAAATTTTTTGTTCATAATTGCTTGAACGATAACAAACACTTTACTAGCGGATCTCCTCCACCAATCGCAAATTTATAAATATTAAAAATGGAAGATCAATATTGAAAAAAATGAAAAAAAAATCACAAGATCAATATTAAAAATGCAAAAATCATGTGATTTTATGGATCTTATAACTCCCAATTAATGATATAGGAGTTACAAAAGAAATACCCATATACCCTTAACATTGAATTCTTAGATAGTAAAGAACTTAATACTAAAATGAATTGTGATTAGTCTAAAAGATTTATAAAATTAACACAGTAATTTGAGTTTAATATTTAAATCTTACATTTTTTTTAAGTATATAATATTTATACATGGTAAGTGCAACAAAAAAACTTACACACCCTCCTCGTTTTTTATGAGGTTTAAACCCCTGATTTTCTAGGAGGCCAAAGACTATGATACCGCTAGACCAAAAGTCATTTGGTATCTTACATTTATTTTGTAAGACAAAAAAATTGAAATGACAAATATTTAGTTGTCATGAAAGAGCGAAACTAATTGGTATTGGCCTTAAAGGTAGCGATGAGCGTGGTGGCATTTCACTTCAAGTAAGATAACCATGATTTATCAAGATATATGGCCATCTTTTATTGTCATAAAACACTGTATATTGTATGAATAGAAATATGGTTGGTTTCGTTCTTATCCCTCTCACTTACGAATTAATCCCTCTATCTTTTAAGTTTAGAGTCATGATTAGCAATATAGCATCACGATAAGGCAAATGATTCGATTGATCTTGTGTATATTGTGGAGGTCATGGGCAGTTGTTTCGTAACTTTGATTCAGATCTTTGTAAAATTTGGCACTAAAATTTTAAAATACTCAATCTACACGTTTTTTTGTATGGATCTTGGTTGTGGTTACATTTTATTCTAATGTCTGCATGGTTTATGTAACCACTTGGTCACAACCATCAAGTAGTATTTGCAAAGCACAACGACAGATTGGAACGTGGGTGTTTTGATCCAGATGACTCTAAAAAACTAAAAACTTACCTTATATTTATTATGTTGACAAATCTAGTTAAGCTTATTGACCCAGCTAAAAAAAACTTTACAGCGTGCACTTATTGATCCCACGCACCCATTTGTCGCCTCTGACTCCCTTCACTCTTTTCTTGCGCGCTCGCATGCTCTCCTCCAGTCATCACTTCCCCAGTTACACCTGGTCACCTACTTACTTACACTCAACTCTTACCACCTTTGACTACATATTTCTGAACACACAACTAGTGTTATTTATATGTTTGTAAAGTCATGATTTGATGTGATGTGTTAATTACTTGATGTTATTTATATATTTAGAGTGATGGGTTATCGTTTAATTGAGTGTAACTTGTTTTATTATTTCCCTGGAAAAAATAGAACCGTTTTAAAAAGGAAAAATATCAACATTTGTATCCAATAACAATACTATTTTGCAACCTATATTTACTTCTTCGTTGCCTGCATAAATTTTGGTTGGGATTTTATTTTTGCTTGTGTAAAGCTGAATGTAATCGCCAAAAAATTATTGAATTCACCACGGCATACTTGAATTTTACAAAGATGCCATCTACATTTAATCTAGTAATGAATATATTATATACTACACAACTTAATAGCACGTTAATAATCTGAGGGTCGTATTTTTCTTTCTTGATATAAAAAAAATCATACAATTAATTTCCAAATAAAAGTTATATGTTGAATACACTATCTACAAAAAATATGTAACATATATTGCTTTAGAGCATGTTTGTTAGCAGCTTAATGTGCTTAATAAAACTCACAACTTATTTGATTTAGTTATACATGATTGTTTGATAGTGGTTTAATGATGTAAAAATCGACTTATTCAATAAGCTTTCAGGGGAACTTTTTTTTTTTTTGCTTGCAAGAAGTCAAGTTTTTTTTTTTTCCGTTCTAAACCTACCCCTCCCAATTAAGAAATACACTCCTTACGTCTATGAAAAAACCTCCCAAAAAACCTTCTCGATATACATAAACAACTTTATCTACACAAAAATTAATGAAAATCAACCAAATAACCCCTTAGTTAAACCCATTTTATAAGTATGATGCAACATAATAATGGTATTGAGTTACTAAGGGGCCGTTTACCAAATGCTTACTCGGGTAAGCGCTTACCAAGTTATATTACCTTACTGGATGAATATAGCAATGACCAAGAATCTTACCCGGTAAGAGCTAGGCAAAGACCGAGAGTCTTACTCAGTAAGTGAGTGCAATGACTCTTACCATGGTCAGCTCTTACCGGGTAAATTGTTGCATAAAAAGCCGTTTTTGTTGACTAAAATCTTACCAGGTAATAAATAATAGTATTGAATTTTCCCGATAAGTACTTATCAGGTAAATGTTTGGTAAACAGCCCCTAATTGTAAAAAGTAAACAACGTATATCGTAGTTTGCAATGCAAAACAATTTTAAACGAAACATGAGAATGTAAAAACAAAAGAACCATTATGTATAATACTTTTTATAGGATTTATTCCTTTTTTATACAGTATAGAAGTTTTATATATAACAAGTAATGATTTAACTTATATTAATTATAAGAGAAGTTTGGCAGAAGTTAGGAATGATATATGGAAGTTGATGGTATCTAAAGTAGTAGTTGCATTGCATATGATCAATTTTTTTTGAAGTATATAATATTTATATACGGCAAATGCAACAAATAAACTCATACACCCTTCTCACCTATGGTGAGATTTGAACCCCTGACCTCCTAGAAGGCCAAGGGCTACGATACCGCTAGGACAAAGACCCTTTGCATATGATCAATTTATCGATATGGTGATGAACAATAATTTACCTGTTCGTCAAACCTACTGATATCAAAGGCCTTATAGATCATATTAAAGATCAAGAAATGAATCCATGTTCATTCTTGAGAGAGCGTTGTTGTCGATTGTATCTTGACAACTTTTTTTTCATTTAATCTTGTTGAGGGTTCTTTTTTCCGATTGTCTTTCCAATCTCGTATCTTAGTTTTGTTTGTCTTGTATACATATCAAATTCACCATTGTTGACTTATATTTATTGAAAGAGTGAACCAGGCATGAGAATGGGACAGGGATGGGGACCCTGATCCACATCCATGCGCCCGATTCCAACCTCCGTCCTCATTCCCGTCGGTAAACATGTTCTTCTCTCTGATTTAATTATCTTGATTCCCATTTCCACCACTTGATACGTAAACCATAGTGGCAAAAATAGAAACCTTTATAAACCATTCAGATAAAAATCATAATTTACTCTTATTTTAAAGGGTGATTTTATACATATCATTTTTATATCAGAATCAAGTCAATTCAACATTGATAATGTAAAACTGAGTAAAGAAAAGAAAGGAAAATGAGGGAAAAAGGAGGAAAGTAAAAAAATTCGTGTTCTTAAATTGAAATTTTTATAGAAGATATAAGAAGAAAAATAATGATAAGTTTTTTCCGAAAACTTATCCTCTTAATATGGGATGAAAGAAAAGAAAATAAAAGGAAAGAAATTATAACCTTTAAATTTTTTTTATTAAAATTACATAATTACCCAATTTTTCATTTAAAAAAATATATTTTAAAAAAGTATATTAATAAAAATGAAATATTTTCTTTTATTTTTCTTCTATTTAAAAACATGATTTTTTTTAATTTTCAGAATACAAATAAAAATATATATATATTTTTTAATCTTTTCATTTATTTTTCTTTCTAAATTTGAAAACACAATGTTGATGTCAATATATTTGACGAAATTAGTAGGTAAAAATATATTTATATATACTATATTATAAAGTATTTGACCAAAAACCCTTAAAACTCATTTTTTATACATGAAATAATGCTTATTTATGCATATCACTTAAAATTCAATATTACAAGTAAATTGTGCGTAAGTACAACTTATTAAAACTTCATGTTTGAATTCGCGTATCTAACTGCAGATAAACATAATCAAATACAAGATAAATATCATATTTTAAATATAAAAAGATCTAAAATACAATTAAGATAATCATTAAGTTCTAACAAAATACTTAATTATTATATTTTATAAAAAAAATATTATCAAACCAAAAAAAAAATTGATAAAAATTACATAAAAAATAAAAAATTTTAATTAGTTGATTTGACATTAACATTGATATACATATTTTTAAAATTTTTACGATATCTTTATATTTATATTTTATTTAAAAATAAAAATTTTATTATTTTTTTAAAATTATATTAAATATGATTAAAATAAAAAATAAAATATTAAAAACAAGATGAGTATCATTTTAGTTTTAATAAACGAGAAAAAAGAATAAAGAGTGTTGATGAGTAAAAACGTGGATAGGATGTTTGTTGTTGTTCCAGAAGTATCCATCCTGAAATATCTGCAATTTAAAAATAAAAATAATATTAAAAAAATCAAAGATAAAGGCGGTGGAAAAAGTTTAGTTTTTTTGAATGGCCACAAAATTTCTGCAACTTCGATATCAATTTACCAACTGCTATTCACTCTCTCTTCCCCTCCTCCCTTTAAAATTTCGCCATTTTCAGTCTGTAATTGTGCTGTCTTTTCTCTTTCTCTCTCTCTTTCTGCAGCCCCTAGTGAAGGAGGTGGACAGGGAAAAGACTCCTCTTACCGACGTTCAATCACCCCACCATTCCTCCGACCTCTGCTATCTCTCATCTCATCTCATCCCTAAAATTGCCATTAATTTATTCACGATTCCAAACACACGACGTTCGATTTCCGTTTTCCGTTTTCCATCCTCGTTATTGCGTATTAATTCCGGTAAGACTGTTGTTTTTGTGGTGTCGAATTATTCGATGTTGATGATGATGATTGTTGTATGTGTTTTTTTTTTTTTTCATTCCAGATCTGGATCGATTCTGAAGGATTTCTGTAGAACGACTTGATGTATGCGTTGTTTCTGCAATAGATCTCGAAAGAATTCTACAAGTTAATCGAGAAATGTCGCTTTTGCCGAAAAGCGATTCGATTCAGATTCGTGAGGTGTGGGATGACAATCTAGAAGAAGAATTCACATTGATTCGAGGTATTGTTGATGATTTTCCTTACATAGCAATGGATACCGAGTTTCCAGGGATTGTTCTTCGTCCCGTCGGTAATTTCAAAAACAGCAACGATTATCATTACCAAACATTAAAAGACAACGTCGATATGTTGAAATTGATCCAATTAGGGTTAACTTTCTCCGACAAGCAAGGCAATCTGCCGACCTGCGGAACAGATAAGCATTGCATTTGGCAATTCAATTTCCGTGAATTCAATGTGAATGATGATGTTTTTGCAAACGATTCGGTCGAGCTTTTGAGAGAGAGTGGTATAGATTTTAAGAAAAACAACGAAAAAGGTATCGATGCACGGAGATTCGGGGAGCTGTTAATGTCATCAGGGATTGTTTTGAATGATAATGTGTATTGGGTGACTTTCCACAGTGGATATGATTTTGGTTATTTATTGAAGGTGCTGACTTGCAAGAATCTACCTGATACACAAGCTGGGTTCTTTAGTTTGATCAATATGTATTTTCCGACCATTTATGACATTAAGCATTTGATGAAGTTCTGTAATAGTCTTCATGGAGGGTTAAACAAGTTAGCTGAACTGTTGGAAGTGGAAAGAGTTGGGGTTTGTCATCAGGCTGGTTCAGACAGTTTGCTTACTTCTTGTACTTTCAGGAAGTTGAAAGAGAATTTCTTTAGTGGTTCATTGGAGAAATATGCTGGTGTTTTATATGGTTTAGGTGTTGAGAATTGACAGTGCTTTGCAATTGCTAAAAAAAATATAAAAAAAAAGATTATAAAAGATGGTAGTTGTATCAATGTATGTTAAGTTACAATTTGTGTTGTAATGGCACCACAGCTTGTACACTTCTTGAGGATAAAAAAGGTTACTTTTTGATTTTTTCTGTTCTCTCTTATGATCTCTTGATGTTTTGGCTTCTTTGTTTTACAATTTATATTTCCTTAGCACACAACAACGCAAGCTGGTTCAATTGATGTCTCTTATATGATTTTCTATACAAGGTTTTCTGGTTTCATGGTGAATCATCTCTAATTGGCAGTGCAATTACTTTTTTGGCTGGTTCTGTTCTATTGTTTGTTCTACAGGTATGACCCTCCTTTCTTTTGCCAATCTGGAAGGAAGGAGGATTAGAACCTGCAATCCCAAGAGGTATTGTTCTGTTCTTCTTTGATTTTCGTATTTAGTTTCTTGTCAGCATTACACGTTGGTGTTGTGCAGACTCGTGGGCATAGCATCATATAGTGTATTCGATAATTGTTTCTTGTTAACTTGTAGCATTTTCATACTAAAAAGATGTTATTTTATCTTTATATGCACTCATTTTGATGAAGGTAACACATAATTGTAACCCTCTCACTTATGACCAAGGCTCAACTTTTCACGGGAAATATCGTTGTTTAAATTGGCATGGGTTTTGTTAACGGTTATAAGTCATTTTGGTTCTTGATAACTTCTTTTTGCCAAATTCTGTAAATTTACACCCATGTACGAGTGTGTGTTTCATTTGTCGTGTCTTTTAGTTGTTTTCTCATTTTTGGGAAATCGTTGTTTGTGTTGCCATTTTCAAGCTTTGGCAACTTTGGTTTTCATCTGTGCCTGTAAAGAACCTACATGACCTATGATCTTTGATATATTTCAGATAGGTCTTGTCCCGAATGCTTTTTTGGTTGCAAAATTTCTGAAAATCTCACTTTATGGCTGCTGTCAACAAGCTTTTGTCTTTATTTCACGATACATATAGCTGTGTGCATGCCTGCTCTTCAATTCTGCGTGTGCGTGTTAGTTTGTTATAAAGGTCTCATAAAGAGACTTGAAGTTTTAGCTTCAAAGTAAAAAAGACCAATAATCTTTGAGAAAAGGTTCTTGGTTTTATTTATAAATGGTAATGTATGAAACAACTCTGTACCTAGGTCATAGAAATGGCTCATGGAGGTTATGTTAGATGTTGAAGCTTGGCCATGGATGATTCTCTCTCTTGTTCCCAAGTTGCTCCCCATCTCCTGCAAGAAGGGTCTGTTATTCTGTGTCTATCTATAATCCATATCATGATAGCGCTTTATATGTGTTACCGTTTGTTGAAATTATGGTGAAGTTGGTAAAAGGCAAGAATAGAATTCACAGGCATCATAATCCTGACCTCTATAACACAAGCGAAATCTGCATACAAATTATCCGTTTTGTTACATAACAGCAACCCAGCTGACAAGTCGAGTTTGATGCAAAAACTGGTACCATGTTGATATTGTACAAGGTCTGGTTTTAAGGGAATATTTCGGGGTTGTTTGTTTACCTCTTAATAGTTTCATTAAGAGGCAACCTCTGAATCATTAAGAGGTGAATCTTGTTTGGAGAAAAAAAGTCTGCCTCTTAATGATTCTAAAATGATTTTGTACACGGGATCTCCCTTAACCATTAAGAGCCCTAATTTCATTGTACACAATTACCAAACAATTATATTTCATTTTGCATTTTATCATGAGAGTCTCTTAATCATTCTGACATTTTAATCATTCTGCACCAAACCATTCAGCAATTACCAAACAACTTTTCGTCAAATCAGATTATAGTAACTCAATAAGAGGACATTGAGTGTATTAATAAACCAGCTGTAAGGTTGGAAGAGCAAATTAGATACATAAAGACTAACCCCATTTAAGGGTTGTGGGACCAGTAGTCATTACAACCAACGGCCATTACAACCAATTTGAAACTGGGAGCAGTAGCAGCTGGCGCAGGGTGGAAGGAAAGAATGAGAAGTCTCCCGAAGAATGTTGGTTCCAAATCTGATACAACTCATGTGAAGCTACCAAAAAATAATGCCATATCAACATTAAAGGTGTTTTTGGCAGGACTTTTATGTGTAACAAAACAGGAACTGAGTGGAATGTTCCACCGTCTACGTAACAAAGTGGAATGGATCTATATTTTACTAAATGTTGAACAACTATTCAGTTATGTCCTGTCCTATCTGAATATCAAACGTACCCTAAAAAGAGCAGATACTCTTTTAAAGGTCCATCAAATACAATAATGGAAATCTGATGAGTATATTCAGGAAAAAGAACTTCTAGACACTCTCATGTGAGGCGACACTCGAATATGTGTTAACTGATCTACTTGCGTCGTTGGAATTAAGTTGACACAGATGAAATAATGTAACGATCATCACAGCTTTCCATGAGAAAGATAATTAGGAAGTCTAAGAAGGGCAAAAAGGTGGACCAAGGAACCTACGGTTTCATGGGTTGTGGGAAATAATGTGTTCGGTAATTCTCTGGCATGTCTACATTGTTCCCAAACAAAAACTACCATGAGGTCCATTCTCTTCAACATGGAGATAAAATGAGTTATGCGTGAAGTTGTATTACATCGGAACATAATGAAACATGAAACAACGAATTGAATACAACATTAATAGAAATTTGAATCGGCATGACTAATTGTCAAACCAAGATATAATCAATTAGAGACTATTTAGCAGCTGCTGAATGATTTGGTGCAGAATAATTAAGCGATCAGAATAATTAAGACAATCATGATATAGTGTAAAATGAAATATAATTGTTCGGTAATTGTTTACAATGAAATTAGGGCCTTTAATGTTTAAGGGAGGTCCATGATACAGAATCATTTAGAGGGTTTTAGAACCATTAAGAGATAGATTCTTTTTTTACTAAATAAGATTCACCTTTTAACAATTTAGATCTCTTAATAGAACTATTAAGAGGTAAACAAACATCTTAGTCTTTCATCTGTAGTTCTCTTTGTGTTGGAAACTTTTAGTTCCGTAATCTTATAAACTGGCAATCGAGCATTCTCCCTCCCAAACCAATCACGAAATGGTAGGTCTTCTGTCGTCAAATTGAAAGCAAGGTTGAATCTAATGCTACTCCAATACAATTTGGTAGTCATTTGCTTCAATTGATCATGAATGATCTCTGCTACATAACAAAATGGAAACTAGGGTTCTTTCAGTTATTCAATTCGCATACACCGTATTCGTGGAAACAATTGCAAGTTTCAGATCCATGTCATCGTCTTACTTTATGAAGCTGAGAAGAATTTGAAGATCAAGTTGCTACAATGGTGGTTATCAATTCAAAAGGTTGAGGATCTCAATGTATTGAACCTGTAATAATCACCTGCGACTACGTATTCTGCCTCCAACTACCTAAGCTTTTCTGATTAATATCGATATACAGATCTACAACAAAATTAGCCAGAGAAGTGATGCAAGTTCAGGATTAAGCAACAAATATACAGCTATCAGAATGAAAACCTGATCGATGAACAATTCAACAATGAGCGATCGATTGAAGATCAAACCATCTCGACTCCTCGAGTTTGCCCCGATCTATTGCGGAAACAAAAGAAGTTCCACAAACTAAGAGCGATCACGGCAACTGAAGCGCCGACTATGTCGGCAACCGCGTCTTTGGTGGAAGCGCCGGCTGATTTGAAGAAACCGAGCTCGTCAGCGACCTCTTTGGCAGCGCCAACGGTGAGAGAAAGGATGCAACCTAGTGAGATGCTGCGGCGGCGTAGGGCGGAGTATCTGGTACGGGAAGCGAGGAAGGAGAAGATGACGGTGATGAAGAAGCAGAGAAGGAAGTGCTGGAGCTTGTCGTATGCTAACCAATCGTCCCCATTCTCCATCTCTGGCAAAATGGAGGTTGGGGGGAGAAATGTACGAAAGATTCCAAGACGGGTGGCATGAGAACCGGTTTGGAGTGAATCGGTTAAGAACCGGTTTAGAGTGAATCGGTTAAAAACCGCATATATTGGCCAGTGGTCTCGGTCGTTTTATTCAGGCATTTTCCAGCAAATGGACTGAAAATGCTTTCTAACAAAGACCGCGTGAACGCTCGGTCTTTCTATGCCATCAACTTGACATCGTCGTCACCTTCAAGATAGGGCCTCTAAACAGGGACGGACCTACTTTGGTGGTTATGGGGTACATGTCACCGTATTATTCCTCCGTTGAAAAGTAAAAAAAATTAGATTCTGAAAGGCGCAACCGTATTAATCTGTCGTGTATCATCGTATGTATTTTAAAACTTTACGAGAACAAATTTTATTTGATAGAGTTGGTTTGCAAGGCTTTTATTCCACCACAGACTCAAGTTCGAATCGTACAGTGTCATTTTCTTAGTCAAATAGTGTCATTGATAGAAAAAAATTCCGTATATTTGTTTGTTATAGTCAGTTGGTACCATCATTTGAAAAAAATTCTAGGTCCGTCCCTGCCCCTAAATAAGTAAGGGAGTGTTTACTTGCTTCTTATTGGATAAGAGGCTCTTACCTTGATAAGATATAGTGTTTACTAACCACTTATTATAAAAAGAGGCACTGACCGTCCCTCTTACCAGATAACAATCGGTCAACAACTATTCCCATTCTTATCGTAGTAAGAGGATACGATCCTGATTTTTTTCCATTTTATCCTCCGATCCCCCTATTTCAATCGCATTCCTCATCATTTCAACATCAATCGTCCCTATTTCAAAAGCAATAGAGACTACAGAACTCATCTGTTTCAATCGCATTCCTCATCAATCTCGCATTCCTCAATTATGAAATATGTATTTTTGCATGTCAACAATTAATCATACATCATATATGGTAAATAGTTGCATTAGTTTAAACACTTCATCACATACAGGGTTATAATGGTCATTTTTTATTAGTCAGCACCAAATTTAGAATACTTGGTAAACCCTATTTTTTTACAAACAACACTTACTCCAGTAAAAGATAATTACTCTAATCAGACTTCTTATTTCAGACAGCGCTTACCAGCTATTGTTGGTAAACAACCTCCAAGTCCTGTTAGCCTAAGCAAAATGTTACTCCAAAATCTATAAAACAAAGATACATTCAGCCCTAATGAAACTAGAAAAAAAAAAAAAAAACTACAATAATAATGATCAAAATTCTGAATAAAAAACTCTTAATTATATTATTAAATATATCATTCATTCACAAAAATATTCTCTCTTTAAAAATTTAACTTTAAAACTTTCAATTAGTAATATATTAAAAAATATTTCTCATGTAATCCCAAATTTCAAATTATTTTACACTCTATCTTCTACTTTGTCTATTTAAGAGTTCTCTAAAAATCTGTTAGAACAAAAAAAACATGTCCAAAATCTTCATTTTGTAGAATCTGTTTAAAATGCTCTTATCTTGAGCTTTGATGATTACCAGGTTTGAACACAATAAAGCTCATTTAACTTCACGAATCAAATTTCATACCACCAATGTTCGATTCAGATTGCTTGAAAGCTTGATATAATTTCAAGTCCAGTCAAACCGAACTCAGCTGAGCTATTCAATTATACACCCTTCCGAGTCAAACATGTCCATATATTTATAAATCATACAATTAAAATATAAAATTATCTCACTCAAGCCAACATATAAGTTAATCAGTCTCGAGTTCGAGCCCATAAACGAACTTAAGCTTGAAGTTCAGTATGATATATAAATCAAAAATTTTAAACAAGTATAAGCTCAACCTCGAACACTGGACCTCGAGATCGGGTGCTACTTTAAAAAAGTTATTCGAGCTCGTGCAGTCCAAAAACCTGCTACTCTACTCGACTTGGTTCCTTAACAACCCCAATCACCGCTATCACTGTCTACAACGCCTTCTCCAGCTTGTTCAAGTGAAAGGATATACAAAAACTGCTAGAAATGCGAATATATTTAAAATTGTAAAAAGCGACAGATATAACGAGACCGTAAAAGCATCTCATCCATACCTTTTGATCATTCTCACGACGTGCTCCTTAGTTCTCACTTGTTAGAAGCCTGTGTCTTTTGGCGATCTTCAACTGTTGCATGCTGTGTTCGGTCACCTTCTTGTGGATCGGAAACTTTAATGTTTCGTTGGTTTTTGGATTCGATCATAATTTCCTTAACGGTCTTTTCCAAGCTATTGAGTCTCTCTTTTACCTCCAGTAATTGTGGATTCGACTCTAGTGCTTCTCCTTCGGCCACCTTTATTTTCTTGGCTTCTTCAACACGTCTAGTCTCCAAATCCTGCCGTAGATTTTGATGGGTAAAACACGAAGATAGAAAATGAATAAATCGTCAATAAATGTAATAATTGATGGAGGGAGTTCAATTACTGCATCCATTTTCTTCATTTCATGACGAGCATACTGAGCGACCAAATACACAGCTGATGCAGGAAAAACAAGCTTTTAGATGCAATAGCAGAGATATTCACTCCCAACGTCCCAAAATAAATGTACACAACAACAAAAGCACACGGTTTTAGAAATATGTAGTTATTACACTTTTTGATATAATAAATGACAATTTTACCCTCAATAGATGAGCGTACACAATAAAAAAACACATGGTTTTAGAAATTTGTAATTATTACACTTTTTGATCAACTAAATGACAATTTTACCCTTAATAGATGAGGAAATAACGAATTTATCCATCGAATAATTAAGGGTAGAACCGAAAATAGGCACTTGCTTTTGAAAATGGACACTTATTTTGGGACGGAGTATTTTGAACTTAATGAGCTAAGAATATGTACCGAGAGAAGGCAAACAAACGAAGAAGAGCTGAACCAGATGAAAATCAAGCCTGAATGTCAAAGAGACACTAATAAGTATAGGTACAAATCAGTACAGAAAGATAAGACCAACGTTGTCCTTCTTCATCATCTAATAGCAGATGCTATGATGAAAATAATTCACATTCTACATCATAGAACGGTAATTTATATCACATTCATAACAAGATATTCCCCTTACATATGTCCCTGATGCATTTCTTTTGTTTGTTGACACACTCTCACATGTAGCTTGCTCGCTTGTTTCTTTTCAATTTTTTGTTTTGCAAGCCAAGGACTCTTCACGGGATAAGCCTCTCTACCCGGGTAGAGACAAAGTCCGCGTACATCCTACTCCTGCGCCCTACCTCTATGTGGGACTTACTGGGTTTGTTTGGTTTATTCGCAACTCTCTCGATGCCTGAGGAGTAGGAGATGTGCATATACTAGATGAAGACAAAACACTGGACTTGCTGCCTTAAAGTGAAGGGAAGTCAACAATTATTTAAGCCAAGTTCACGACACTTGCTGCCTCATGGGATTTCTAAATCTCGGGATTTCAATTCCAAACTTCCCTTTAAACCAAACGCGGGATTCATTGGAATACAATTACAAATCCCACCAAATCTTACAAACCAAACCGGCCCTAAGGGGAGTTTGGTTTAATGGAATTGTTTTGAGGGATTTGGATTCTGAAGGATTTTGAATATTTGATGTGTTTGGTTTGTAGGATTTAGAATTGAATTGAATTAAATTGTTACAAATAATTTATAAAAACAAATTATAGATAATTATAAAAATAATTAAATTACCTTTTTATTAATTGATTATTACAAAACAAGTGTTTTTAATATATTTTAAAACATTGTTATATACAAGTTCTACGAAATCCCATGAAATACCAACCCCGTGGGATTTCAAAATCCTATGTTTGTGAGATTTCAATTAAATCACGGGATTTCAAATCCATGAAATCCTTCAATCCGAACATGGGATTGGATTGGAATTCAACTCCAAATCCATTCCAATCCTACAAACCAAGCGGGCCCTAAGTGCATTCCTTACCGTAGAAGAAAAGATGGATGACTAAACTTTAAGTTATCAGATGGACTAAGTTGCAGTTAGCAATCTAACTATACTCAGTTCAGCTGTTAATTTGTTGCCAAATACATGCCCTAAACATTCTCCTCATGTTAGGAGGTATGTATCCATATGATGTATAAAATAAATATTTTGCCATCCAAGTTTATGTACTGTATTTATGGTGAAAGTCAAACTAGAAGGCCCATTAAGGACATTACAAAAGGAAACCAAATATATTAGAATTTGCATAACATGTTTGCAGACTGACTCTTAACCTTTGTGATTGCTATGCATAGACACTATTAGCTAGTTCTATGCTTCTAGCTTTGGTGTAGCAGCAAATGTTCTTTCGAGTAGGAGCAAAAGCCTAAACTCGGTTCTGATGTTGTTGTCTTTGGATAACACAACAAATATTTATATGCTATACATATATAGGAATAGTTAAGCAAACTACCAACGAGTAAGGGTGCCAAAAATGTGAAGGAATTATTATTACGGTGTCAGCGTTGATATATTCAACTGTGATCCAAATGTTTGACCAAAAGGCTAAACCAGCTTTGTGTAAGTGCTTTAGCGTATAGAAGTGAAAACAAACAAAATTACCCGAATTTCTTCTGTTTAGGGGGAGTGGTAAAGAGAATCTTGGCAGCAGTCATGAAATCAAGCTTATCCAGGTCTCGATACGAGTCATGGTGAGTCAATGACCCATATGTATTTTCTCCATTCTTGTTCGATTCAGTGGTGGGTTTGTTGTTCGTGGAGAAGCGGTTGCTGACTACAAGTCTGAATCTTCCAGACGTTCCAATCCGTATCCTTCCGCCAATCTTTCCCAACATCTTTTTTCAACGTAACAAAGGAAGAAAAAACAGAAGAGAGATTGAACCAGCAGATTCATGAATTCCTTCCATGTGCAACTCTTTTGTGCCTTAATGCAATGATCACCAATACCAAAGCAATTCCTTTGTTTGTTGCTTGAGCTCTGGCCAAAATTGCCACTGTTTCTCCTGATTTAACATAAATAGCAAGGTCAAAGATGTTTCTTATAAACAAGAAATGGCGGAAGTTAAAAAGGAAGTGGCACAACCTCTGAAATAAAGAATTTTGGTTCCAACTCTCTTATAACATGGATTACAAAAATGCAAGGAACCCCACTGTTCTTCTAATATGCTTCTAAAATTCATGATACACAATTATCTAAGTTGTGTAGGTATTCTCAATGTGCATTCAATTATTGCAGAAACTTTTTCACTCAATTTCTATTATAAGTGCTCTTAGTTTCCCAGGGATAGATAGTGTTTCATGTACTTCTATTACGAGAACTAGTGCAATTTCTTGTTTCTAGAAAGAATTCAAACACATGTAAAACAAAACAGAAAGTCTAGTGGCACTATTTTGTAGAATTGCATTCTGCAGAAAGAACCCACAACAGGACTCATATATATTCTGCAAAATTACATATCATATGAAACCAAAGACAAACTCAATGCAAATAGTTAACTAATACCTATGCGACTCAAGCTAACTAAATAAATTGATTCCTTCAAATTCAGGCATGAGATATATGCAGAGACTGATGTAATTACCTACTGTAAACAACAGATACCAATGCAAGTGCAACAACAGGTTCGAACAACCAGAAAGAACCCTGTTTGGGATGTTGAACAACAGCCTTTCTACACAAATCCACAGTAGAAAGAATGCCCTAAACAGTGCAGTTCTAAGGGTGCGTGCTTAAGCAGAATCTTCGCAATTGTTATGCGGCATTTTAGTGCCTAAATTCGTGCAAACATCATAAACGAATTCATCGATTTCACTCAACATTTACTAGAAATAAAACTAGCATTCAAGATATCAGAAGTGCAATCTGCTCATAAACGTACAACGGTTTCAATGTGAATACCAGTAGCCAATATCAGCAAAAGATAACAAAACAGCATACAAGATCGAGCCGTAACAAAACCGCACAGATTCGATTATAACACATTCGCTTCCCATTTTGTATGTTCTTTCCCTTCTAGGTATTGGCTTTTCCTCTACCATGATCTCGCAGAAAAGCCGCATATAAAACAACGAGTTGATAGAAAGCTTACTAGAATTCTGTGACGAATTCAGCAGGAGCAGGACGACGAGCGGCGGACTAGCGGCGGCGACTGACGGAGCAGCGGTGCAGGCAGGCGACGAGCAACGGAGGAGATCTCAATTTTCTTTTGGTTGCTTCTTCGAAAAAAGAGGGGTTTACGGTAAAATGTAGACTAAACTACGATTTTAGTCCGTCGTCTACCAAAGGTTTCTATTTTTCGTACATATGATTTAGAAATTACGTTTAAGTCCTTATGATTTTCATTTTTTTTTTCTTTTTTCGTCCTTGGGTTAACGTCCGTCAGAAGGCTGTTAAACCAAGCACCACCAAAATTACAATAAGACCCTTGAGCAAATGGTTATATAACAAACAAACCCTCCTCCTTTTACATTTTATAAAATGACTACAAATCCTTTGAAACCATTTGCATGGTTCAATTTTAATTTGGAATTTACAATTTACACTCATATAAATAATCCTTTTTTTAGCTTTTTCATTTTATATCATTATTAATATATTTTTAACTGAAATTAATTGATAAAAGAAAAAGAAATATAAATGGTTGAATATGATTGGTCCATGTGAGTTTGTCTAGTTTGTTTAAATTGATGAGTTTGTAATTGAAATATGTTATATATATATATATATAGATATATATATATATATAGGGTATATTTCTTTTACAACCTTATGCATTTGTACAACCTTTGCAACCCAATTAATTGATATATTTATAGAAATGATTGGAGTTCATTTATTATGATTTAAATATTTATGGAATATGAATAGAGTTTATTAATTATGATTAATATTTTATATTAGGAAACAATTAATTGATTAAAAATTGAATGGTTGAAATGAGGGTTGTATAGGATGTAGGAATGGCAAAGGGTGTAGAATAACATCCCTCTCTCTCTCTCTCTCTATATATATATATATATATATATTATAGGATTGGATTGATATGGACCAACTTATTTTCGTGAGATATGTGAGACCATTTTTTTATACTTGAAACTTCACAGAAAAATGCTGTAAAGGTTAAAAAAAAAAACCAAACATTCATAACAAAAACATTGTGAAGGTTACCTTCATAGCTTTTTGATGTTAAGTTTCAAGTAGGGTCAAGTTCAAATGTTAACCAAAGTTTTTGTGTTAACTTTGTTAACCGATCTTGACCATTCAATCTTTCAATAAACGGTTGTGATTAATCATAATAAAAAATTATTTTTTTAATTTTAAAATTTCATAAAAATAAGTGAACAAAGTTGAAAAGGGTATTTAGGTAATTTTTTTTTGTAACTCCCATATCATTAATTGGGAGTTACAAAATCAAAAAATTCTATGATTTTTGTTAATATAAAACCATATGAACACAACTATATACATATGAACCATTGTGTCAAATACGAACAAAAAATCGACATATATATGAACTTTGGCTGCATATCATTTATGAACACAATATGAACATAATAAGAATAACTGCTATACGAAAGGAAATAAATAAAAAAACATGTATGAACACGATATGAACAGCTTGTGAACAATAGTTCCTTCATTATAAACATATTCAGGAGCGATCATTATACATGCATTACATCCACGCGGTTTAAGGTTCACCCCTTGTTCATATATGTTTTTGGTCTTATGTGATTGTTCACCCCTTGTTCATATCGTGTTCACCCTTGTTCATATTGTATAAAATATATGAACACAAAACCCCGTCACTATGAACATCGGGTGCAAACACTTACACAAATATAAAGATTTGGTATCAAGCTTAAAGAATAACACTTGTGTTCATATGATAGAAGTAACATGAAAACGATGGTTTATGATTCATATAAGTCGGTAATATGACAATATGAAAATGAGTCGTGCATGTACTTCCATTTGAACATGTGAATTAGATACGTATTAATAATTAAAGAAAAATGTTATCAACACAATATGAACTACAAGAAACACAACACATCATAATAAACATAATTTCGATTAAAACGAGTTTAATAAAATATTAATCTATTACCAAGACATTCGCTTTGGTTAATTTCTTCACTTCCCGAACTCGAACTCCGATTGTCACCATAAACCATTTTAATCTTCTCAACGTTGTCAATTTTTTCTCAACGTGTTTATCTATAATAGTTTGAACGATACCGAAGATTTTACTACCGTGTTTTCTTCACGAATCAAAAACTCATAAAACAATAAAAATGGAAGATCAAGAATAAAAAATAAATAAAAATATCAATATTATAAATGTATATTTTTAGGAATTTTATGATTTTGTAACTCCTCTTTAATAGTATGAGAGTTACATAGCAAATGAAATGACTCAATTACCCTTAGCATTAAATTGTGAACATGAAAGATACCTAATAGAAGAATGGATTGTGATTGGTTGACATGGTTTGCAAAGTTAACACAAAAACTTTAGTTAACATTTGATCTTGTCCCTATATATATATATATATATATATATATATATTGTAGGTTGAATTTTGTTTTTTTATTAACCTGGATATCCAACCCGCTATGCGAGCCGACTAATCCCAGAACGACCACCTGTTTTGCAGGTAGCCCGAAGTCACCCTTATGTTTTTTTTTAAATCGAACTAAAGTACATTGGGAAAAAAACCGTTACACATGAAATATCGATGTAGGAATGTTGATAAAAAAATCTTTTAGTTAACACACAGTGTCCTCGTATATCATAGTGTTTCATTATAATCATAATAATATGACGTGTTGTAGCGTACTGATTTATATATAATGTTCGTTTCCAAATCATTTCCACTAATTTTTTTTGCAAGTCTCTCTATTTGAAGTATCAGAAAGCCATAATGTAGTACATTCGAAGATGAATCGGGGTATTACAAATATAAAGAAAACATATACTTCAAGGCTGTTTATCAAACGTTTATGTGAATAAGTGCTTACCAAATCACATTACCTTACCGAAAGAATATGACAATGACCAAGAATCTTACCCGGTAAGAGCGAGCCAAGACTGAAAGTCTTACCTAATAGGTGAGGACGATGACTCTTATCACGGTTAGCACTTACCAGGTAAATTGTTGTATCCAATGCCGCTTTGGTGGACTAAAATCTTACCGGGTAAGAAAGTGATAGTGTTGAATTTTACCAGTAAGCGCTTATCAGGAAAGTGTTTTGTAAACGGCCCCTTCCTTCGCTTTTAAGTGTTTACGTTTTTATTTTATTTTGTCTCAAAATAAATGTCCATTTTCAATAGTATTTGTCTACGTTCTTATTCTAAACCTATGAGATGGAGAAAACTGTTTTCTCTGAATAAACGTATCATGTAGTTAATTTAAGCCTCTTACAGGCTTAAATTAAAAAAAAAACATAATATTTATATTCGAAATACAATTTCTACCTATTGAACTTTATTAAAAAATAGTATATAAAATTATGAAAAAAAAGTCTATCTTTAAGGTTTAAAAACAAGGGAAAAGTACAATAAAAACCAATGAACTTTCTTGTTTGGAATGATTAAGTCCTTGAACTTTTTTTGGAACAAATAAGTCCTTGAACTTTCCAAAACATGTTAAATAA